CCCCTTCCATGGCAATAGCCGTCAGTGGCAGGCCCTGGCCCGGCTTTGGCACTAAGAGGAAGCTGCTGCTCTGTACCGTCGGGGGTCCCGGGCAGCACACGCCTGTCTCACCTATCTGGTGGATGGAGTAGTAGCTGTCTTTCTTGTCACTGAAGGCATTAAGGACACTGAAGTACTCGTCTGTCTGCATCTCCCCTTTCACCCACCTCCGGCAGCACACGCCTGTCTCACCTATCTGGTGGATGGAGTAGTAGCTGTCTTTCTTGTCACTGAAGGCATTAAGGACACTGAAGTACTCGTCTGTCTGCATCTCCCCTTTCACCCACCTCCAATCTAAGAGAGACGGGAGGAGAAATGCAGGTTACTTACCAGTCTACGTCTCACGTCCCGGCCTGGGACTTCCTTCCGCTGTGTGCCAGACACCTTATTGCTAGGAACCTGAGGAGATCCCCCCAAAAGGACCCCGCTAAACACAAGTACAAGGGTCTTCCCGGCGGTGGGAACCGAAGCCGTGGTAAATATCTCCAGGGTGTGCAGGGATCCTTCTCGGGATGCACTGGCTCCCAAGGCGAGAGAACACCCGTGTCAAAAATCTCGCCCCGAAATCCCGCAAGCAAGCAAGCGCCTCAGTCACCACCGAAGTGGGGCACTGCCTGGGAGGCGCAGGAAGACTGCGCACCGGGGTCTTCTGCCAGCCCAGAGCACCGCAGCCACCGCCGCCAGAGAGACCAGGTGTCACAGCACAGCTGGCCACTGGTGTCACTTCTAGGATAGTGGGATTCAGAGCCGCCTGAAGGCATCTCAGCAGGGAGTTAAAAATAAAAGTAGCAGCTGCCTGCTTTGCAGCAGTGTCAGCCAGCGGAAGGATTTCAGACGTACCAGCCTGCGCAGTTTGGGGCTCCCTTGCTGAGCCCTGTGGGGGCTCTCAGACTAACTGGGGTCTGCAGTCATTTAGAAAGGATCCAACGTAACCATGGCCTATCAGCGGGCAGAACGGCAGAACGTCTCAAACCCTAGGCCGCCCCCCGACGTGATCTCGTCTCCAAGCTGGTGCAGAGGGACGCACAAGAACGTTTCCCGGCCAGGCCAGCCCAGGCTGATTGCCCAGACAGTATTTTGTCCACTTAACTGACTTATGCATGTGGATTTGGACGATGCTTGTGAAACTCGCCGGGCGTTTCCATGGGGGCTGCTCCATCATCCAGCTCTTCAGCTGGGAAGAGCTGGGAAATGCGACATGGCGCCCACGGCAGTTACAGGCTGTGCCCTCTCTCTCGGTAACCCCAGCTTGTGGCTGGCTCTGGACACCTGGCCGAAGGGCGAGCTGATTTACCTCTGCCTAAGTGCCGGCAGACCAGTGCCTGAGCGAAGATCATCTGACCACATCTTAACATGCAGCCCCAGCCGGTATCGGACGTGGGACCTGTTCCTCCTGCAGCCAAGCAAAACATCAGGGTTAGATCAGCTGTCTAGTCACAGAGCAATACAGTGGGGAGGGGACCAGGTGGGTGCAGCGATGGCAGGGACTCGTCTCAGACAGCGACGCCGAGGAATAAAGACAGATTTAAGAGGCACCCTCCTGCCCGCCCTTAAGGGAAATAAAGCCAGGCGCTTACAGAACAGAGGGGAGGAGTGCCAAGCAGCGCAGACTGGGGAGCGAGAGGTGGGATCACGACAGCCCCCAGGCATGGGTCTGTGAACAGATCTCCAGACCACACCACCCAGGGCCATCCCTACAGGGGTGGAGAGCCAGGGACAACCCCCTCCCGCCTCCCCAAGGCCCCGCCCCCGCTCCACCCAGCCCAGCTGCACCCCACCCCCTAGCAACGCGGCCCGAGGGACACGCGCTGGCAGCGGGATACAGCCGCCCCACG